GAGTGCGACATTTGGGTGCCCCTGCATATCTTCGGACTGAGGTGCAGGCAACACAGAAATCGCCGGCGCCTTGAGTGCCACATGCAGCACGACGCAGGCAGATGCTCGCTAGGTTATCAACACACTGGGCATCGCAATGCTTCAGGCCCCAGCTAAGATTTGCGCAGAATTCCTGCGCAATGATTATGAGGTGCAACACAAGTAGTGCGTTGGCCAAACCACAGAACCGAAACAAAAGTAAGAAGCAGTACCGAAATCCGATGCTGAAGAACGCACTCGTATCAGATGTGCCATCACAACGATCAAACGAACTAGTTCCAGTATGTACAGCTCCTAAGGATCTCACAGGATTCACCTTGTGCATGTGTCCTTGTTTCTGGCTATGCTGGACAAGACTGGGCTTGGCGAGGCACACGCCCTGACGCATCGAAGACAGGACATTTCCATCGTTGAGCCAGCAGCTTGAGAAGACGCATGGCAGAAGGCTCAGTAATCTGCAACCCACCTGCCTGTCGGTCGTCGTGGATGTAATGGTTGACGTCCAGGTAGTCTCAGATGGGCAAAAGTCTCACATGGCCCATGGCAGAAGCCCCAAATGCCACAAGCTTTCAAAGCTGTTGCTTCATCTCAGCCCCGGCACCGTCCAGCTGGTTGTGCTGCTAGCAGTGCGCGTCATGGTCTAGGCACAGCAACACAGCAACCCTCGCACGATTCGCATGTGTCCTGTTTTCTGCCATCGGGCTTCACAATCTCTTCAAACTCGGGTCACAACAGATGTCGTGGACGAAATGCCGGTCGTGCCCTTAAGATTCGCTGCAGGAAACAAGCTCAAAGTGAGCGAAGCAATTCGGTCCCCTGCTGATATAAACGTTGTCGTCAGTGTAAACGTCGGTGGTAGAACCTCTGTTGTAGTGGTTGCTGTCACCGTGGTTCCTGCGGCATCACCAAGGGCAGAAAGGGCATGAAATCACGTTGACATGACATCCTGCACTCCAGCACTCGCCTGAACATTCTGGACAGGTCACGCAGGTAGCCCAAGTGCCTAAGCTGGTCATCTCGAAATCCTTTCACTGCCCCATTCTGGGAATTTCCCAAAGTGAGCTGATGAGATGGGGCCATTTCGCTTTTCAACTGCTCTCGACTTCCCTGCCTCCGCTTTGATTCGCTAGATGATTTGACGACTCCATAATAAGCACATGCTGGTGGCATGCAGCCACCACACAAACATGGAGACGCAAAACGAGAAGGCGTCGTTCTCTGCAATCGGTTCAGCACTAGAATCCTGGGCCTAGGCAGGTGGCAACTGTTTCACCTCTACAACATCACTCTGCTCTTGAAATGGCAGCTCAGCAATGTAAAGCCCCAAGGCCACCTGTGAGGCAGGATTTTCTGAATGGCGGAACATGTTGCGGGTGAATTGAATCGAAGGGATTGCTCCGCATGGTCAGATGCAGTTGCCCTCCGGGATCCTCTCTCCTAAAGCCGCTTGCTGTGTCGCCTTTGGTTTGACTTTCCGCTGCAGTCCATTCTTGTTCCAGGAGTTCTGTCCGCAGACACTGCCAGCTGGGGCATGTACAAAGTGTTGGCCACCCAAGATATTCGATTGCATTGTAGCACCTGCGATGTCAAGCGACAGACATCGGCAGCAGAAAGTCGGGAAGATAGGGAGGAAAGCTTAGACCAGAACAGCTGCAGGCAGGTCTTCGACTCGAGCTCACGAGCTGTTGAGGTCCTGAGCTTATGCCGAAATTACCCAACGAACTCCGACTGCAAGCGATGAACCTGAGAACCACACGAAGCCGCATCTGTCGTCTGATCACTGTTTGCTGCATCCTCTAAGGATCCGTCATCTTCGAACACCTGAAGACAAACTACACTACTTTCTGCAACTTACTGCAGCTGCACCGTAGCCGAGCTCCTGGCGGGGCCCCCACCGCCAGCACTGCCGGCGCCTGCGAAGTGTAGAACTTCTTAATCAATGCAGCAGAGCCAGCAGAAATAGACCTGTGCTGGAGGGTCTCTGCGTTGTCGGTGGCAAAGTTGTGTTTCTGCGGTCCGGCCTCTACGAATGAACAGTTTACCATGTGGCATCCTGCTTCCTTTGTGTATCACGTGCTTCGAGCCTCGCTGTCACAACCAGCATTCCCGACCTGTGTCACCGCTGGTGCGAACGCAACTGTTCATCTGGCTACAAGTTCGGATGCCCGAACTGCTTTATGCTTTAGGCTCGAATGAAGTCTTTGCCCTGTGATTCAGGTCCTGACGTACTTTCCGCGCTTGTGGACGGAAGGATGATCGAAGCACACTCTCCGCCTGAAGTCTATAAGGCTATAATGACTCGACGATGACCCCGGCAGAAGCCCGCAGCTCTCCATCTTCAGCCGCGCGCATGATGCGCAGGCAGACCAACCGCACTTGACAAGCCACGGGTGGGAATTGTCATAGCAGAAGTCTCCTCAGAGCGCGATCCAGTACAGATGCCACCGTTCGGACCCTTGCAAATCTCCAATCTCGGCTGGGAAGAAGGCTGCATTCGACGGCTGGAGGCCGTGTCGTCGTGAAGCCCGTCACCTGTTGTTACAAGTAGACTGATATGATATGATGCTCCCTAATGATGGCCGAAGTGTTTGAGGCCGTGACCGTCTGGGTCGTAGTCAATGTCACCTACGGAGACTGTGACCCCAGTGTTAGATTGAACAGTTTCGCCTTCCCCTGAGGTTGTTGCTGTGTAGGTGGCCGTTGTGGTGGTTGTACAGACAGGCGGGCCTGGAAAATGAGAGCTCAACATCTGACAGATGCACTTCACAGGTGCTCCGTTGGACCTGCCTTCAGCTCGCCTGCCCCCAAAGGGACTCTCAAAAAACAGGAAGGGCTCCACGCAGAAGGGTTCCAAGGCCTTGGTGCGCACGTCTCACGACGCTTTTCTCACGTCCGCTTCAAACTGATCGGTCTCAACGTCACTGCGCGTTGTGGTAGTATGACCCAAACGAACCGTGACAAGGCATGCGCTGATGGTGATTGCAAACTTTAAGACGCGAGCATCGTAGAGATAACAATGTTTGCCCGAGTAAGTGCACTCAATCACCTGACGGTGTGCAAGAACTGAGCAAAAGAAATGCCAGTTGCTGCATGTCGCTATGTTATCCTTGTGCACGGCCAGCACATCACACGGCATACACGGCGTCCACTCGGCCCTATGGTTGTTGGCCACCTCTGTATGCTCCCACATATTTCCCATTGATGCAAAGTGTGCTTGAAACAAACCCTTGCTCTGATTCTCCGCGGGACATGCTATTGTAGGAGCGCGAACTGTGGGTCTTAAAGTCCTGCAAGGACCTGTTACTTCACCCGATTGACTTTCTCTTGCACGCTTATGATGTGTTTAGCACTCAAAGACCTGGAAGAAAAGGGCACCGGATAGGTGCGGGGCATCCAGAAGGCACGGGAAAAGCAGGATATTTGTAAAACGCCTTGTTATGTTGATGTTCTGGACACCGTTATTCTCTTTCTGAGGACCATGACTATGACATACTATGACTATATGTCCGCTTTTTAAGGAATCTTGTGAACAGGTTCTGAAGGTCGTGTCATACACCTGGCGAGGAGGCCAAAACCGTGCGACAGATGCCATGTGTTATGCACGATTGGATTGTAGAAGCTGGGGTCCTGAAGTGCAGCACAGCAAGCAAACATGCAAGAGGCCGCTTGCACAGGTTTGGCCTTTATTTAGTCTCCAGCCACGAGCATTGTAAACACATCATGGCTGCTTATTGCCCATTCGTCAGTCATAAACACTCTATGATGCTAAAGATCCTGGATGACCCCTGTCCCTGTATTTCTGTTCACTTCCTCCAGGTGCCTGAACAAGTGTTACAAAGAGGCAGCCTTGTGAAAACGACTGAGTGTTCCCTGGAGCTGAGCGGTTGTGTCCCATGCTTCTGAAGAAGGATCTGCGCTATGGGGATCATAGCAAAAGTTTCAACATCTCATATTGCACACAATGAAAATGCCAGTCAGAACGGAGTGGACGCGTCTATCTCTGTGCCGACTCCGGTGAAACTGTTTCCTCGTGGATGACCTATGGCAGCAAAAGACTCTACAATGCCACATGTATGTACTCTTAGTTTGCAACATCACTCAACTTGTATGCGGCAGGTGTGCACAGTTTCCAATGCGTGTGCTGCTTCTGTGGCTTTCTCCCCATTGTGTCGGCATAGGCCTCCTCCAAAGGTGGGCAGCCCAAGGCCTCACTGACGCAGCTCGGAATCGAACTCCTGCAGCTAATTTCCGAGGCCGTGTCGCGATTTGGAAGGTCAGGGCTGCATGGGTCCAGAGTGGTCTGCTGCTGTCCGACCTGGCAAAGACTTTGATACATTCCGTCGAAACTTGTGTAGGCTCTTCCTCTCGTGCAGCGCTGACACTGCCCCCTGCAACGTCGTGCCTGCATCTGCAGCGCCAGGACCACCTCGGGCTACTTCAGTCTTCCATTAGAAACACTGACCGGCCGATGCAAACGCCAGAAACGTCTCGCCATGTGAATGACTCGAAACGGCATCAGTTTCAACCCACGCACTACAGACGCGGCGCGATGAATACAGATTTGGGGACACGGCTGGCAGTATGGAGTTGCGAAGCATTGCTCATTGCTCGCCACATGCACGATCCTATCCATACACTCTACACTCATTGAGCGACCACCGTGCAGATTCGTTGAATTTCATCAGCCGTCTAGACAGTCTACACCTGGTTGACGTCATACCCAGTAATCAGTAATCAGTGTCACATGCCTGCAGCACACTCCATGACACTTCATAGCCGCTGCAACCGATGGGAATGCCCATGGGCTTCAAGCACATGATGCGGAACTTAAAATAGAAACGCGGCATATATCATCGCTCTCAAGCTGTCGCTGGCCACTACCAAACGTGTTTTCGTTGTCGCCGTCGGCTTCATGGCACTTGCTTTCGATCACCCGTAACCCTCCCACGGTCGGCACTTTCTTACTGAGATGCTCTCGCTGCCTTTGGCAACTTCACCAGGGAGGCCTGCTGCAACATCTGTGTGTCAAAGGAAAAGGGTTCTGGCGTCATTAGGTTTGCATGACCTCCATGATTGTCCATTGCTTACTTTCGAAACCTGATTGCACAGGCGGTGAAACTACTGCTGAAGTCTCAGATCACGATACTGCAAGTTTGCGGATGCGCGTCTTCAATGCATCGTTCTCCTGCGGCCAGCTCAAGGCTCACGGGCCGACACAGCAGCTGAACACGCTGCACCTCCCACCTCCTCCCTCTCGCGCAGCATCGCATCCAAATCCTCTGCCTCAGACCTCAACAGAGCCACCTCAGCCTGGCAACAAAAAACGAGCGGCCATTGGCAGATTGGCCAGTTGACTGCTGTCACAGATGGGCGCACGGGATCAGTTTGCCCAGCGCCAGACTCGAACTTCCCAGACCTTTGTGAGAGCCGAGAGCCGGGTGGTCGCTGCGAACGGCTGGGCACCAGGCTGAGCATCCGCAAGACTGGCTTGCAGCTGGCGGACAGACTCGGCGTACCTTCCAGACAGGCCGACATCAAGGGATCACTTTCTACATCCAGGCCCATTCCAGGGAGTGGCACAGAGAAGATAAACGTTCAACTTCCTTTGAGATTCGATCTCGCTCCTGAGAACACATTGCTTGCACACCGTCAAACAAAGACAAACACACACAGGGCCACAGCAGCTCCTCCATCAGTCTGGCATTCGCCTTCGTTCCGTTACATCTTCATGAATGAGCTTCAAACACGGCTAAATATGTGGACACTTTATCATAAAACGACACGCAGGGCTAAGAAATCGTCGCACTACAGGCCCTGTGGCCTTACCAACCATAACAAGCTGCCAGCTACCTTGCCGACTATAGTCACCGACGATGGACAAGCAAGTAGGACATGAGCTGATGACACTCAATCGACGGCTGGGACAGCAGGTGGGCCGATGAAAGCGCGAATGAGGCTTGTGCTGTGGTCACGCGCTCGACCGACTGCTCATGGTATGCCTTCTCCTGCACTGAACCAAGAATGCACTGCGCCTCGATGCAAACCAAGGTCTGCTTTCAAAGCGCGTCCTTCTCTGCAACATTGAGTGCGCTGTCCATGCGAGCTGCAAGTCTGTTCCTGCTCGACAACAAGCATAATCGACGTCAGCCACTCTTGCAAGACGCAACAATGTCCCCACAGCGACACCCCGGACACCAAGGGCGACCAGAACGACGACGGCTACCAGTGCTGCTACTGCTACTACTGCAACTGCTACCGCTACTGCTAGTAGTAGTAGTCGTAGTAGTAGTAGTAGTAGTAGTAGTAGTAGTAGTAGTAGTAGTAGTAGTGGTAGTAATACTAGTACTAGTATCAATCCTCCTCCTCCTCCTCCTCCTCCTCCTCCTCCTCCTGCGGCTCCCACTACCGCCACCACTACCACTACTACCTCCACTGCCACTGCCACTACCACTCAGTCACTACCACCACGACTATCACTACTACTACTACTACTACTACTACTACTACTACTACTACTACTACTCCTACTCCTACTCCTACTCCTACTCCTACTACTACTACTACCACCACCACCACCACTACCACTACCACTACCACTCAGTCACTACCACCACCTACTACTACTACTACCACCACCACCACCACCACCACCACCACCACCACCACCACCACGACCACGACCACGACCACTACCACTACCACTCAGTCACTACCACCACGACTATCACTACTACCACTACTACTGCTACTACTACTACTACTACCACCACTACCACTACCACTACCACTACCACTACCACTACCACTACCACGACCACGACCACGACCACCACCACCACCACCACCACCACCACCACCACCACCAGCACCACCACCACCACCACTACCACGACCACGACCACTACCACTATTTACTACTGCTACTGTACCGCTGCCGCTACTGCTCCTGCTACGAAAACTACTACTGGTACTACTAGTAAGTACGAATACTAATAAGTTCCAATACTCATTCTCGCACTAGTATTAGTTTGGTACTAGTACTAGCAACTCATACTACCATTAATGCTCCTGCTGCTACTGCAGATACTGGTGCTACTTCTACCGCTACAGGTACTGCCACCAATACAACTACGACATGATGATTTCAAGAGCGTTCCAGTAGCCTTTCTTCGGAGATGCTCTGCAGTGTCTGCTTGTGTCTCTGGAGCTCCTGGCAGCGCAGCGATTCCATGAATGAAGCGACTTGCGGCAGGCGGCCTTCTGCCCATCGGAAGACCCGTTCTGGGCAGCCTCGGCCTGTTTCATTTGAACCTGATCGCGGCTTTAACCAAGACCGCAAATGCAACGACCATGCAGATTGGCAAACATGGCATGGCTCGCGCCGCCTTGTCAAGCTGGGTCTTCACATACAGAAAGTTGTCCTGCAGCTCCTCAGGCCCCCCATGGGTGTGCGTGAAGACGGTTTGTCTATGATAATTCGGAGATTAGTCTCCTCCTGTGTTTACAAGAAGCCCTCTCAAAGCACTGACGAAATCTACAACTGGCGTGTCGCAATCCCTGTTGCATCAGCTTTCCCAATCCCATGGGCAAAGCTGCTGTGACTCTTGTGCATGCATCTGGGTGTTCATAGGCCGCTACATTGAACATTTAAGATACGACTGCCCTGTCCATCCTTACACTACGTCGGAAGCAACGGCCAAGTCTTGGGGCTTCGTGGATGAATCACGGACTGGCTGCGATAGCATGCCGGGATGGAATCATGTCCACTGCCGTGTCTTACTGCACCACTGGGTCAGAGGCTTGTCTTTCCTTGTCTTGGTCCTGAAGACATCACGCCGTCAATTGCCACTAAATCCCGTGACACCTGCTCACGCGGTTTGTGGACCTGCGATGTGCTCAAAAGCCGAGTCTTGATTGCTTAGCAGACAGATGCAGACAGTCAAAATGAACAATGACAAGTCTGCCCAAAGCCATACAGCAAACCACCCGCAGAAATGTCCTTCCATTGGTAAGGAAAGCAATCAGGAAGGATCACGAGGTGATTTCAAACAAAATTCGTCCTGCAGCTGTCGACGCAGCTGTTCCTTCTCATTGTGGAGGGACTCAACGTCCTGCAACATTTTCTTTCCAATGCCATCGATCTGCAAGAAAGCGAAAGTGTCTTCAGCAAAATTTAAACCCATGGCCAGCCCCGAATTCTCGGGATACACATTTGTGCCGATTCGGTCGACCCTTGCGAAGAAAGCGAAGCTTCTATGTTTGATTTCTAGAAGCAACTACACTTGCTGCTAGTTGCTGCTTGAACCCCGACATGCCTGTCACTCCAGGAATTGCGAAAGTCTTCCAGCACAACTGGCTAACCTGAAGCACGACCTGTTTCGGCCTGACACCAAGGAACTTGCTAGCCGCTGAACGTTGCAACAGCGGCTGTGCAACCAAAGACCATCCAAGACTTCTGCGATCTCGATGAGCCAACTTTCAGAGAGTCAAAGTCAGCAGGCAGCCCGGCCAAGTCTCCTGCCGCAGTCGCTTCAACTCCTGCGTGTGAACCTGCGCACGGCTTCAAGTACCGAAAGCAATCTGGGACTGAGACTGGGCAATGATGACTTTCAGATACGAATGAAAAAGGAAATCATATGCGGCGCAGCTGCGCACGTGCGATGGAGCATGGAACCAGTTGTTTGAGGACAGCTGGAATCACTCTGGAGCACCCCTGAGAGACCCTCAGAAACATGCATTTCTTCAGGGACAACCCTCATGCGCTGTTGGATCGTGACTGCAAACGCCATGCCGAAGACAAGGAGTAGGCGGGCCCGCAAATGCAATGCCGGGTGGGGACCTGCTCTTGCTGATCATGCTGGACCGTCGCGGTGTTGGAGCTAAGCTCCTCCAAGCGGGCCTGTCGCAGATGACAACTACTCAGCACTCCGCTGCGCCATGAAGTATCTAATTATCTCAATCCTCTGACACTTGCCGCAAGTTGTCGCACTCAACGTTTCTTTGGTTGGTCGTCGAGTGTCTTCTGCCCACCTTCAGGCAGGTAGCGATTATCGCTTTATTGATCGTAGGGCCACTATCTTCGTGACAGTCGTCGCTTTGAGGGCAATTGCCATAAGGCTGCAATGGGCCAACTGTCACAGGGATCGGGCTTGTCAGGGAACGTGGTCCTCGTAACAGTTGCCTTGATTTAAACCCTCAAGTCGGAGTCGTCTTTGTTTGGGAAATGTCCACAGTCACAAGGATCGGGCGTATTTGAGACGCGATCCTCGTGACAGTTCACGGCTTTGGCAGCCTCAAGTGTGAATCGTGCCGGAAAAAATTTGGACTTTCACACGGATCGGACGCCATCCTCGCGACAGACGACGGGTTTGGGGCCCTCATGTGCAAAAAGTGTGCGCAGTCACACAGATTCGGCTTGGGGAGTGGGTGGGGAGAGGGGGGGGATACCATTGGGGGGGGGGGGGGGGGGGGGGGGGCGAACCGAGAACCGGGATCATATATCTTAAGCCCCCTCATGTGGCGATTCCGGTTCATCGTATATCTAAAACATGTCCCCTCATTTCGACATTCGGAGTCGTCAGATATCTTTAACACGCCCCCTCATGTGGCGATTCCGGTTCATGATATGTCTTGAATTGAACATGACCCATCATTTGGCGATTCCGGTTCCTCGCCAAACGAGAGCGTGTCGGGGATATGTGATGAATCCGGAATATCTCAAACACGCCCCATCATAGACAGTTCCAGTTCATCATATATCTTAAGCATGCCCCCTCATTTGGCGATTCCGGTTCATCATATACCTTAAACAAGCTCCCTCATTTGGCGATTAGGGTTCATATCACATATCTACAACACGCCACCTCATTTGGCGATTCCGGTTCATCATATGTCCTTATTTGGCGATTCCGGTTCCTCATATATCCTCAACACGTCCCCTCATTTGGAGATTCCGGTTCATTATATTTCTTAAACTGCCGATTCCAACCACCAGATTCAACTTAAGGGGCCAGGCTTTAAGATTCAAATCTCCTCGGACTCATTTTATATCTTAAACACGCCCCTTCATTTGGCGATTCCTGCTCATCACATATCTTAAACATGCCCCGCTCATTTCGCGATTCGGAATCATCATATATCTTAAACGTGCCCCCTCATGCTTGTCCTAAACACCCCCCCTCATTTGGCGATTCCGGTTCATTACATATCTCAAACACGCCTCATCAACTGGCGATTCCGGTTCTTCATATATCTTGAAAACCCCCTCGTTTGGCGATTCCGGCTCATCCTGTGTCTTAAACACGTCCCCTGCTTTCGCGATTCGGATTCATCATATGTCTTCAACACGCCGCCTGATCTGGCGGTGCCGGTTCATAATATTTCTTAAACATACCCCTCTTATTTGGCGATTCCGGATTCATCATATATCTTAAGCACGCCCCCTCAGTTCGCGATTCCGGTTCATCAAACATTTTAAACATGCCCCCTCATCTCGCGGGTTCATCATATACCTTAAACACGCCCCCAAACGCAATGATGGCATGATGGGTCTCAAACAAGGAAACTCATATACTTTGAAGCATGCTTGCACGGCTTCAAACAGCAGGGGGTTGAGGGGGCGCAGCCCCTGCCCATTTGCAAACAGAATGCTCGCATGATGGGATCCCAAAACACTCACATGCTTTGAAGCAAGCTTGCGCGGCTCAATAAAGGCGGGGTTCGGGGGGTTGCAAACACAATGCTCGCATGACGGGTTTCAAAGAGACTGCTTTGAAGCAAGCTTGCTCGGCTCAAAAGGACTGCGGTTGGGGGAGGAGCGCCCCATTCGCAAGCAGAATGCTCGCATGATGGGGTGCAGCCCCTTGCCAGTTGCAACACACTGCTCGCATGATGGGCGCCAAAACGACTTGTTCTTTGTTTCTCTCGCGGTTTGTTTCTTCTTAAGATTATTTCATGTTGTCTTTCTTTCTTTTGTTCTGTCTTTCTTTGGTTCCGTCCCTACTGGCACCATCTTCCTTTCAATTCCCATGAAAATAACAGAAAATGCACGTTGTCCTATGAAAACATTGGAAAATAGAGGTTTCCTCCTAAAACAAAAGAAAATTAGAGTAAAAAAAAGTGTTTGCTGCTAGAACATAGAGAACGTACCCGGTGTGGATTTATCTTACATCACCCGGTGGGAATATGGAATACGAACCCCGATGTAGAGGCCGTGTTTGAAGCAGCAGTGAAGAACGTGCAGATTCCTCGCATATGTGGCCGACGCCAAATCTTGAGTGCAACTGTGACTCTTTTTCGCGTAGATGCACTACTGCTACAAACAGCTATTCCCAAGTACACGCTGTTTTCAAGCCCCAGCCGCGTAAGCTCATTTGCCAGGATATCCCAGGGGCCCAAGGACGCTGTTTGCAGTCTCCGAGTCGCGCAAGCTCCATTGTCATGGCAGAACCAGCTCAAGAAACACGTCAGTGGCAACAAATCAAAACCAGCAATTCTCCATGGGGACGCCCGAGTAAGCAGGCATTTACTCAAAGAACGATGCATAACAAGGCCACGCGATGCATGATAAATCTACCCCTTGTGGAAGTTTTCCTATGAAACATAGCGAAAATCTATGTTTTGCTCCTGAAATACAGAGCCCACCACCCACCACTAAAAAAAGTGCCAAAGAAAAAACATAAGACATAAGGGCCAAACAAGATTGAGTGCCCACAAGGTCAACACTCGACTGGCTCCTATATGCTCCTCAATCGCTCCAATCTTGCAATCCCCTGATGTACACATTACTGTGCCCGTGGAAATGAGTAGAACCCAAGTAACCCCCATTTGCTAAGTACACCACTAGAACGCGAGGTGGGTGTGCATTTCCATGAGCTCGGCTGCTACTGTAGCATCTTGGCAGTACATTGCGTAAGTTGAGGCTGTTGAATCTTCTTCGTGCTCATCAATTGGGCAGCATCGGTGCGTTTCCTACAAGAATCTATTTTCTCCCCAACCCCCTATCCTGGCCACCTGAGCCCCCCTCCTTTCCTCTGGGCCAGCGGGTGAAGACTGTCCTAGCGCGCCTTGAGCATATCACGTTCGTCCTTCAGCTGGTGCACCTGCAGCCACTCCCAGTTGCAAAAAGCACAAGTGGCTCCAATGCTCCCTTCCTGCGCTTCCGGGCCAGCGCCGGCTCCAGATCGCGCACGAGCTTCGGCAAGCTGAGCAGCGGCGGAAGGTGGGGCTCGGAAGGTTACCTAGCCTTTTGCGCCTTCTTCGACTCGCCGAGCTTCTCCAAGTGCATCCTTCATCAAAATCCATCATTGTGAGCCCAAGGCTTCCAGGCTGCCCCTCGCAGGTCCTCAAAGATTCCACCTCCGCCTGTGTCCCAGCAACTGCTCTGCAAAGCAACACCCTTTGAATACGGGCCTGTGCTGCACTGCAATAGCTTAGTGACTTAGTGATTCTCTCGATCCCATCACGTTGAATGGCCATCTTAAACCAGGTACTTGCATTCTCGCATGCAGGGCTTCGGTGGCACTCGCTGGGTTTGGGATTTGAGAAGCGCCCTTCTCCGCATTGCAAACGACGAGTTGGTGACTCTGGGACTTCAGGCAATTCTCTCTTTTGAGGGTGTAAGGCCCGGGGCATGCGAAAAGGCGAATCGACATCCTCCACTGAAGTCTATGACAGTGCTCCGAAAGCACAGACAGTAGGAAGGATCAAAGAAGTATGCTCCACCTGCTGCGACCGATTTGAAGTGGAGATCTCCTTCAGCTGCTCCTGCACTCGCAATCACTCGCACTGCACAAAACGAAGCCGCGAAGCCGCAGTGCCAACGCCGACGAGAAGCAGCTGCGGTGCGCTCGGCAGCTCCAAGACTCTCTCTCTCTCTCTCTCTCTCTCTCTCTCTCTCTCTCTCTCTCTCACTCGGGCATAGGGACCGGTCAGGGCCCCCGGGCATCTTACCCACCCGATGTGTTCTCGGGATTAGCTCTCTCTCTCGCTCTCTCTCTCTCTCTCTCTCTCTCTCCAGCGGGGCTCTCTGAAGCTCACCATCCGCAACACACACTCTGGGCCTGCAAGCGATCAGCGGATGGCACGTTGGTTGCGCCGTCGCACTGATCCTGAAGACCTTCGATGACCTGTCGAGCAGCGAGAAGATTGGTCAATATAGTCTTCGAAAAATGCTCCGGTTACCTTAGGTGGTGTCCCGGTCGCATCCGAGTCCACGAAGCCAGGAACATGTCCGGTCGTGCCGGAGCTTCAAAGAGAGCTGCTACTTGTGAAGCCTTTTGGGACCAACGAGGCTGCCTGAAGGGTTCGGACTGCTCTTGTCGTCCCCCCACTCAGCTGCAGGAATGGGGATGAAAAGACAGGAGTAGCAGCTGGCAGGCCAGCCGTTTCAGTCTAAGCCGATTGCACTGGTTCCCCCAAATTTCACCACTGTTTCTGGCTTATTACTTATGTCTCCATCGTCCGTCCTCGATTGACCTTATCGAACTATACAAAAGCGTGAATGTGTCCCTAATCTGTCCCATCACCATCGCGATTTGAGTTAGGGACAACGGCGATACTCCATTGCCATTGTGAACATGCTGAGACAAAACATGCAACAGAAATCAAAACGGCCTCTGTGAAACCGGATATGGTTTCCATCAGCTGCTCCTTCGGCACAGAAGCATGCTTGTCATAGTGGGAAGTGTCAGCAATTCGAACTGCAGAGCATGCCGTTCAACAACACTCCTTATGACCTGCCGGACTAAGGGGCTAAGAGCACCTGTAGTCGATGAGTCGATGCACTTCAACAACGCCTTGCTGTTGACTCGAGCTATTACAGATACATATATTGCCTGTAGCCTCGTACCGACGGCTTGAGTATCTCGTTCCCATCAGACACACTGCACTCCGGAATCGTGACCAGCCTGCATTCTTTTCTGACTCAGATCTTCTCCAGACCAAGAGCATTGTGCAAGAAGCTTACTTGCCGGCTGAATTCTTCATTGCGCTCCTGCCAACTTACCGCTCCGGCATGCCCTGAATCAGAGCAGTAGACAACGACATTGTCATCAGAGCCACCATCGGAGCTGCGGCGGCGGCTGCTACCTGAACCGGGTGCTCCTTCTTGCTTTGCTGTCCCTCTTTCTAGGAGCCCAACCATAACCGCCCAAACGTGACATCCCTGGGATTCGTGCGGGAACCCATTGCAGAAGCATTCGAGCTCCCGCGCACACAACTCAAACAACTTGCATACGAGAGTGGTAACGTCGCTCTTTGTGGACGGCAGGAGACGCCTATTGACCTTCATCTGAGGATGGCAGACAAGCTTAATGAGGCGAGAATCAGGTGAAGGTATTATAGTCGCTAGTTGGGGATATAGAAAGCACATGTCTCTACTGAACAACTGAGGCCATGTCGTCTGTCCAGGAGGCCGGTGCTTCTTGCTCTCATGCGCGCAGCATACTTCAGTGACATCCAGACGGGAGCTCTTGCATCGTTGAAGGCGCATGAGATATATACTGGCGGATAGCGGTGGGATCCGAGGTTCTCGAACGGGGACAGCGAGCGAATGTTTGCTTCGTGCTCTGTGTCCCGAGGATCTCCCCATTCCTGAAACTCATGTACGGTCAGGGGCAGCGTAGAGTCCATCATGCTCGTAAGAGTGTCCACGAAGGGAACCTCCAGTATGGCGGCCCCTACAAGAACGGCATCGGCGTGCGAATTCAAAAGCGCACCCACAGTTAGCCCGCCAGCGCTCGACCCTTTCAAGCACAAAGCTCCGGGTGTTGCAATTCCATGAGCGAGCAAATATTTCATGGCATCTACTAAATCCAGCACGGAGTTTTGTTTGTTGAATTGCCGTCCACTTTGGTGCCACTCTCGTCCATTCTCGCCGCCTCCGCGGACATGGGCCCAAGCCAGCGCCCAGCCGCGTCGTAGAAGAGCTATGTGCTCTGAGCGAAAATCGGGTGAGAAACAAGTACCATAGGATCCATATACTTGGAGTAAACAAGGAAGCATCCCCGGAGCACCTGCAGCATTTGAGGATTGCCGTACGACAGTGATAGGAATAATTGTTCCGTCTCTGCTAGGACACTCCAACCGTTCACACTGCAGTGATTGCAACAGCTCTGGATGGTTGACCGTGCATCGGCTTACAGTCTTGGTGAGCTCACTTTCCAAATCCAACTCGAAGGTACAACCGGGCTCCACCGGAGATCTAAAGGTGTATTGAATGACATTGGCATTTGCCTCAGCATTGATGCCTGGCTCCACGGATCCGATTTCCGGCAGATTGACCAGATAAGAATGCATTCTCCGCGCTTCAGACAACGAAACTACACATATTCTCGGTGCAGCAGCCTCATGCCCGTAAAGCACGAGCCATCTACTTAGCAGGTCAGCGTCAGTTACGTGAAACTTGCCCGGGGGTGTGAAAATTGGCTCCAGGCACGACCATGCACCCTCTGTTCTCTCAATCTCATCGGCAGAAGCTCGATAGACCATAAAGTCCGGTCTTTCATGATTGCTGACGACATAAAGCCAGCCGTCCCCATGCTCAGCAAAGTACTCCACACCAGCTGTCTTTGCAAGCAAAGGCTTCAGGACCAGGTTGTCGCCCTCGAACTTCGCCAGACGAACCTCTGAAGTGTCCTTCGTATTCGACGAAACCAGAATATATGCCCGGTCCTTAGTCCGATACAATTCCAGGTATGCGGCTGCATCGCTCTCCTCCCACAACTTCTTGCAGGATTGGGCACCCGTCGCAAGTACCGTCACGTGCAAGGCTTGATATGCTCGCTTGCTTGACGGGTCTACTTGCACAGCCAGAAGGCTTACCTCACCAAGATCGGAACGATGTTGCAGGAATTCCACGCTGCGGATATCTGGAAAACGTGCCTCTCTTGCAGATCCGGAGTCCTTGTCAAGTCTGCGCAGCCGCAACTCGAAGGTGTCATCGCCGTGTAAATCCACGATGTACGCCAGCAGGCTATGATCATCAGACACCTTGCAAGCCGTAACATCTACGTAGCTATCACCTTCAGCTAGCTTGCCGGTGTCAAGGAGGACCTCTTCGGCATGTTCGCTTCCAATTGGCATTCGGCAGAAGAGCAAGAAACCTTCAGGACTGTGCCTCTGGTAGTATGTGAATGGACCCTGCCGCTCGGACGTAACATTGTCAGCAACCAGCAGGCTTGCTGCTTCTGCCTCCAGCTTTTCCCGAAAATGCGCAGCAGCAGAAAAAGTTGTTCGTGCAGCCTCTGTTTCTGCAGCAGCCAATCTTGTCAGTGCTGGTCCCGGACGCTGCAGGCAACTCCATTCATCGATCACTTTCGCATGTCTCGAAAAAGAACTTAACACCGTCGGCGGCGAAGCTTGTCGCACGGTTCTCCAGGCCTCTCGCAGCACACGCCGCACATGAGCCATCAGAGGCACACAGGGAGACGGAGACGACGGCAAGGCGCCCAACCTAGACCAACATAGACCAACCCCAGCCTGGCCCTGGATGTAGCTTCTGCCGCACATCTGAAAAATCGACCCACAACTCTCAAGCGTGATGTGGAGTGGATTCGGTGGATGCCCACATCCTAGTGACCTAGAGAATGGAAAGACAAATCAGAGTCTCCTGAAGCTGCCTCTTCTCATGGTTGGTGTTCCGCAAGACCTGGTGACAGCAATTCATACAGACACGCAAAGTAACACAACCGCAAGGTGTCAGCGGAACTGCTGTCCTAGTCTCCTATATTTCAGCAAAGAGCAAGACCCGATATGTTGCATCTAGCATGTGACCACGCTCGATGCATACGGACAGCTCCGTCGAACAATCACCCTTGACGTTTGAAGGCGTTTGCAGGAAGAGCGCCGAACTGCCGAATCCGTGCCCTCGAGGGCCCTGGTTGCAAAATAAAGGCCTCTGTCGAAAATTTTGTTTGCACGCAGTGGGAGACTGCCGGGCACACGCCACCGCAAAGATAAAACTGATTCAATTTCAACCGGCACCAAATTTGCCAGGCGGAAGGCGCCTTCTCCGAGATTTCCTTCTGTTGCATTGTGCGGTTGAGCTCCTGCCAACAGACAAGCTACATCAAGCTACGGGATTCTGTGAAGCTAAATCAACACTGAATCAACACTGGACGCGCACGTTCCACAGTTGCCGACCCTGCAACACGAAGAGGCAACATTTTCCATCTGCAGGAAGGACGGCGCCGTCCACTGCTCAGTTCATGCCTTGGCTTCTCACTCCCGAACAATCTGCATGGATCCAAACTCTGATTGCAAGGTCTGCAACAGCTGCTGTTCGGCAGGCAGCTGATGCAACTGGAACAGCCGAGACCCAAGCCATGGCCATCACACACTCTTTGCATCCGGGTCACTGATCGTCGCGTCTTGCGGTCTTCAGCATGTGTCCTGACTGTCTGCCTGGTGCAGGTATCAAAAACAGCGGCCAGAAGAAGTGCATGTAGGGCAGTGTTCAAGATGTGACACCATGTCCGCATGCGATGCGTGCTCTTTGGCGCATTTTCGCAGCATGAGGTACTGGCAGAATCGAAAGCATCGCTATCTGGATCGATGCCTCTTCAGGTGTGGCCGGTCAGTCACCGTAGACTAGAGCTCAAGCTTCGGGTCAGTCTAAGGGGGCAACTCGGAGGAGTCGCAGCTCCCGCGGCGGGCTGGCAGGCAACGTTCACACGACAGGACAAACGCGAGAAAGGCAAGGGCTGGTACCCAGAGGACTCGATCCATCTTGCCGCTTTGCCTTGACTGTACTCATTTCAATTTCGTGACCAGGATTCTCTATGCCCTGCGTGGCACTGACGAGCTTAGGCACTCGGCCACCAAAGGTATGCACGACCACCTTGCGACAAGAGAACGCAGTCCGAACCTGAGGCTTGTTGGAAGACTCACAAAGTGCGAACTTGCTTGCTTGATGTCGGCCCTTTGCATTTCCACTAGCTGGGTCTCCAACCAACACAGCTGGCAGCGAGGCGCTTGGGACCAGCCGGCGACCAAAGATGCCACAGCCTTGGGCAGGATCATGCATCATTGCAACCCACGGCTACGAGCTGTCCACTGATGATGCATGGCGCGAGCTCAATCCGCTACCGAGAGTGCCATTTCAGATCTCTGGCAGTACCATCTCAACTAAGGACTGGCCACGTCAAGTGAACACGATCCTTGTCCTTGCTGATGCTAACTGTTGAATTACTTTGCAATTGCTTTGGCTATTACTACTGTAGCTGCTGTTAATACCCCTGTCCGTGTGCCTAAACTAAGACTATAGCTATAACCATGGATATGACTATGACCCATGGCTATGATGAAATCACCAGCACTATGACTACAGCATTGCCATTGCTAGTGCTGTCATTCTTGCTAATGCTGTGGTCATTACTCATACTGGCTCTTTATTATAGTAGTAGTAGTAGTAGTAGTAGTAGTAGTAGTAGTAGTAGTAGTAGCAGTAGTGGTAGTAGTGGTAGTAGTGGTAGTAGTGGTACTAGTAGTAGTAGTAGTAGTAGTAGTAGTAGTAGTAGTAGTAGTCGTGGTGGTGGTGGTGGTGCTGGTGGTCGTGGTGGTCGTGGTGGCTGGTAGTTTTAGTATCAGTACCAGTGTCAATATCAGTATTCGTGTTGGTATTACACCACCGGGCCGAAAGTTTCGACGTGCAGCTTATAACATAGATGTATGCCGTGGAGAGGCGGCGAGCCTCAAGACCCATTTTACGTGGCCAGCGTGGCGGAGTAATTACTTTCCGGGAATAAATGTATACTATTATATAGTTTCCGGCGGAGAGCTTTGCGGGGTTGTGCTAGGATTCTACGGAGGAAAAGGGGTGAACATGTGGTGATCTCTCAACTTCATGTTGTATGGCGAACTTTCGTCCTGCGGTAGTAGTATCACTGTTGCCCGGACTCGGCCATCGGCGTTGCATTGGTTTGTGGATTTGGGGTTAGTCGTTGGTGCGAGCATTGCGAGCGTTAGTAATAGCAGTAGTATTGGTACTAGTATTAGTATTCGAATTAGCATTAGTAGTAGTATTAGTATTAGTATTATAGCATTAGCAGAAGCATTAGGATTGGGCTTAGTATTAGTATTAGATTAGTATTGGCATTAGCATACTAATGTTTATTAATACTGAAATACTGATACTATTGCTACCTGCTAACCCTAAGCACCTATCTAAGACTAATACTAATACTAAAATGCAAGTATACGAACTCCGAACCCTGAACCCTTAACCTCTCGCGCCGGGCGCGCATAATGCAATACTACTTCTACCCAAACCAATGCGCGCCCGGCATGCGTAACCCGAAACCCTAAAACCCTTAACACAAAGAACCCTAAAACCCTGTAGTACTGCCACTAAGTTCACTACTATCCCGAAACCCCAAAATCGATGAGAGCACTGGTCGCCCGTAGCACTGAGCAGGAAGGGGGGAGTGGCGGTGGTAATCTTGGTGATCTTGATGTTCGAGTGCGTAGGTGGCGTACAATTGGTGCCAGATTACCAGCCCCCCCTCCCGGCTTAACCATGCTCAAAATCGAGATTACCAAGATGACAAGATTGCCCAGATGACCCGTCATCTTGCCCCCCCCGAGATGACGAAGATGACCAAGGGACAAGCAAGATTTACCAAGATTACCAAGATGAGGGCAACAATTGGCTGTCCTAAATTGCCGGCTCAAAGCACTACTACTCCTCCTCCTACTACTGCTACTTGGGTAAGACAGCCAATCCCCAACAACCTCTTCCCAATCCTGAGCCCTTTCGATCATGAAATCGCTCTGGAGCCTCGGGCCCGCCTCAAAAACTGAAGCTCTGAACACTTTGAGACGGCTCATGGCTATCAAACATGTGGTATTGAGTCACAGCAGGGCTCCATGATGACCTTACTTCGTGTTTGGAGCCGAGTGAGTGGTGGCGCAATGCATGTGCTGCCTTTGCCAGCTTAGGACTGTTCTGAGGCCTTGCACGCCTAGCATATTCATTGCAAGCGCGACGGGGGGCAGGGGGTAGTCCCGCCACCATCCGCCACCCCCGCCGTACTTATGACAACTTCCTTCGTTTTGAAGATCGATCGCAGCACGTGGCAATCGAGCCAGCGCCATAAAGCTCTGCGCCGAAATTCAGTGAATTCGAGGCCGCTCTGCTTCATAACTTAAGACGAGCCTTTTACAAGGGGTCCGACCCCAAAGCTGTGTTAGCCATTTCGCTCTGAACTTCTGGCATCATCTGCAGTCCCGAGTCTTGACTTCTTGAACAAGTGCCTTGCACAGGGCTGATATCTATGAGGCAACCATCTGATGGCAATCTACCTAAAGGGATCTGGCAGTTCTGCAGCTGTGGTGAGCGTCGATTACAGCCCGGTTCAGAAACGCATGAATCCCGCAGCATGCTGTCAATGCCTGTTCGCCAATGGCAGACCGACAGGATGCTGAGTGCCACTCTCAAGCAACCCTCGTCGCGGGGCATAGATCACTAAGCCCGGCCTGAGAAAGCAGCAACACACCTACCGAGCCTCAGCATCGGTACATGCCGCGAAGACCAGGCACCAGGCAAGTCTGGTCTTGTGTGGTCCTCAACTCAGCGTTTTCGCCATCTAGTCGACAGTAGTCTGTGATGCACTTCTGCCGCGGCCACACTGCGGTTGCATCTGCCCGAACTCCTTGTTGTGATGTTCATGGCCTTCTCCTGCAACTGCCTGCACCACTCCAACTTCAGCCGCGTACATTTACATGCCAAGCAGAGCCATTATCGAAGCATGCCTTGCCTTCTCACGGCCTCACAGAGAAACAACACTCAGCAGTCGGGACGTGGGACTCTGTGAGCTGCGCAGCTCACTCATGTTCTCAATCGTTCTGATTGCTGCACAGAATCTTGGACCACATGGGAAACAGAAAGTGGCGCATCTGCAAGTGCTGGTAGCTCTGTCTGGTATAGTCCAGCTCGCCGCCGATTCGGAAGTGTGACTCCGTGAGAACTTATCCCTCGTCGAGGCTTCTTTCCAACACCGTCAAGTAAAAACTCCAAACTCTCCAGCATCTGCCCCTGCACGCTCGGGGCTACTTTGGTTGTTTGTTTGATGTTGTACTTACATGTGTGCAGAAGCCTGCCTTTTCCGGCCCATGGTGTTCCACTAGTTACACCACTTGCTATAATCAACTGAGATATGCGAGGATAACATGTGCATGAACGGAAATTTTCTGTTGGGTTACATCTGTGCCCAAGTGCTGCGGTGTTAATGTTGTCGGTTTGTTTTTTGTGTCTTGCTTGTCTTGTGTGCCATGTTTGCACGATTGTATGTTGGATACTTACAACCTCTGGTCCGAGAAAGCGAGCTTCGAGCTGTGAGGCAGCCTGCCCAGAGAACTGTCGAAGCCGAAGCTCAACCGGCATCTTCAAGGGATATCTATCTACGCGCCTCTTAGCTGAGAGCCGGACTTGCAGAAACCCACGCAACTTGCGCATCCCGGTAGCCTGTCTGGAGGCCCACACATTTCACTGCTTCCTTCACCTGCCTTAAAACGATTCACGACTGACGTTTATGCTTTTAGTTTTGGTGATTTTATTTTACTGCAAATGGATCCGACAAGTGGATCAACAGCAATTTTGACAACAGCAGATTGAGAAGGCGGGCGGTCGAGCTTCGCACTGCCGAACTGTGCCTGCAAACAACAGCCTCGTATCACAAATCGCACTTGATCGTGCTTGGAGCAGCGGCCTTTCCACAAGTGAAGACATCGAAGGGACTCCAGGCAGAACAGAGACACGCGGCCTCAGGCAAAAGCAAATGCCGGAAGACTGGCGGCTGAAAGAAGATGCCGTGCCAACAGCCTTGCTGCTCCACTCGGGCAAAGACCGTAAGCATCGCAGGTTGCAGCCAGTCTTGTTGAGTCGCCTTAGACTACCTAATTTCTGCTGCAAGGCGAAGCAACCAAGGCTGGGTTGCCAGCTTGAGTTCCAGGGTGCCGGTATGAGGACCTCCCCCTGTCTCGAGGCGTCCTCGGGCGAACCACGGACTTGGAACAGAGAGACAACGAGTGCGGGCTCATCGAAGCAACATGCAACCTTGGGTGCGCTCTCTTCCTTCCGATTTCGAAGAAGTGCAGGTCTGGTGCTTGAACGGGGAAGGTTCCGTGGCAGGGGTTCCTTCCCCATGTGACGACCAGAGCTCGAAGTGCCGCATGGTTTCAACGATTCAGTGAGGCACGCGATTCCACCGAACCTAACTAGACCAGACAACAGCGAAAGGCGTGTGGGCTGTACAGGAGTGGGTTGCCGAGTTTACAAGCCAGTGCAAGAGCAAAGCGCTCCTCCAATGCCTCATGATGATGATGATGATGATGATGCGGGGAGCGACAGCGCAAAGTGCGCCACTTACCCGTGCTTAGGTAAGCGTCAGTTGTCCGAAAATGGCCACTAAGCTCTGGGCAATGAACTTGGCCGCGACAGGCAGCTCCGTGCTCAGGCGAGGAGCTGCCTCGTAGGCACTCCGGCACTGTCCAATTGTCCTGTGAGAGATGAAATGTACGGAGAGCCTGGATCTCGCTCGCCTGTGCGAAGCCCGCGATTTTCAGAATCGCTCCTGGATGAAGCAAGCCAACTCAATTTAGCAGGCTGCTTTCGCGCCTAATGAACCATTCCCCTTACCGAGGAAGCCAAGAAATCCACATCCTGGCTACACAACCACCCCTGTGAATGGTCCAGCCTCCAGTGCCGAACCCAAACACAACCAATAAATTACACTAATCACACAAAGTGACTAGTAGGACTCGTCTTCGTCTTTACAAAAGCACATTTCCAAGCTGGTGCTCTTGACATAGCGATGGATTGCAAAGGCAATGGCAAGGGGTCAACCTGCAGAATTTTCGACGAAGCACTCGTGAGCACAGCTGTCCCCATTCGCTCGAGCAAACCATGAAATTGCGACCCAAGAATCCCCGAAGGCCCGTGGGCACCTGCACTAATCACTCATCCCAGCACATCAATCGATCTTCACCACCGTCGTACTGCAACTTCAGACTTGCGAGGGCTTCCTCGGTCTCGCTGGGGATGGCCACTACTCGTGTTGCGCGAGGTCACCCAGGACCTGCCAAATGTGTCCAAGCAGGCCCGGACAGTGGACTCCTGAGGGCTCATGTGTTCTGGACCGGGATGCCGGAATCCGACAATATGATCTGCGGAGCTCTTACTCAAACTAGCCGGAGGGTTGAAACGGATAGATTGGCTGTGCCAAGCTGGCGTTCCAGAAGAATTCGGCAAGATAACTACAAACCGATCAACCCATGAAGGAGTGCTTGCAGACGCTTCGAAACCTGCACAAGCTGATACTTGCAGCTACACGCTAAGAGCAGCGAGATCTGCCGGGGGGCCGTCTGTGCCTTGCATAGCTTCCAAGACCCAAAAAGACGGACGCAGTTCCCAGCAGCGATCTGCCAGGGCCTCCTGCGCTGAGACGGTCCCAGAAGGGTGCGCGCTTTGATTCAGACACCTCTCTGTCTCTGTCTCTGCTCACCATATCCATATCTCCTTTTTTTTTGCTACCGTATTTTTGCTACCAGTGCCCAGACTGACAGCCGTATGCCGGTGCCTGAGCTGCTTGCCTCGGCTGTGACAGCGCGCGCTGCGCAGTCGACATTCGGTCGACAATGTCCAAATTCAATTCACTTGGTCCACAGCCGTGTGTCGGAGGCTGTGCATGGACAGGAACGGTTGCCTCAAGTTGAACACAACGCAATGTTGAACTTGTGCCTCCACGTCTGCGTGCTCGTCAACATCTGAGAACTTGGCGAGCCCAGGGCGACTACACTCATCGTGTCTTCACATCGCTTGATGGCAAAAGGGTCCTGACATGTTCTCACTGACTCTTAAGTAGGCGAGCCCAAACTCTGACGCTCTTCAATGTAAGCGCCGGAAGCAAGTCTGCTCTCGAAGTCGAGTCACATTCTTCAAGCTGCCTCCAGTAGTCTTGCATCAGGCAGGAGAACGGCATCAGTGATGCCGGCACGCCCACGAAGGTCGTAGACCTGAGACAACTCAGGATCTGCGTGAGTCAGTGCAAGCGGCGCTACAGAGGCTGCAAAATGCAAGGCAGACCTCACTTTTACGATCCAGTGATCCACAACAGCCCGTCAGCCACCCTAAGGTATCCGCTACAAGGGCAGCACAGCGAGCTGAGATTGGTCAAGGAACGCTGCCAGAGACTGATAGCTATACCAACTTCTGAAAATCGTGAAACCTGACTTCTGCTGTTGGCAGGCCAACACTTACTTCGCAGACTTAGCCGCACCACCGATCCAAGCATCACCTTGTGATGTTGTGTGCTCTAAACATGGAAGCTTCGCTTCACCATGTGATCAACAAACTCAGGGTGTTTCAAAGACCGTCCTCTACGTTGGCATCACTAAGTGGCACCTCCGTAAGCCTGTCGAGCGAAGCGCTTTGCGGCAAGCGCTCTTCCCATCCCACAGCCTGTGGGCAAGAAGTTTGGGCAGAATTGTCCAGAAAGATTTGCACAAACTCAAGAAACTTGGGAAGCTGAACGACTCCTCGTTTACGCCTGTAGAAGTCATGCCTTGGCAAAAAATGACTGGTGTTTAGCACACAACCTGTCCAAGATTTTCCCCGATGAACTTTAAGCGATGGGGTCGCATCAAAAATGTGAAGAATATGAAGAATCACGTGTTTCTCGGATTCGCGGCATCGCGAACCGACGGGACTCATGTAGGCCGACACCCACAGGAACTGCACTTCTAGCTGGAGACGGTTCTGAAACCTGGGTTTCAACCCAGGTTCCAACCCAGGTTCCAATCTAGGTTGAACCCAGGTTTGAACCCGGGTTGAACCTGACGTTCAACCCAGGTTCAAACCAGGGTTCGAACCTGGGTTCTGAACCCAGGTTCGAACCTGGGTTTGAACAACTTCGTCTTCAAAATAGTTGTTCAAACCTGGGTTTCGGAATTTGGCGCTGGAGATTGACACCCATGCAACATGCCGTCGTGCCTGCAATCAATTGCACAATGTCAATCCGTGATTGTGAGGTGGAGGGTATCGCTGAGAGAGGCATCATCACCGTCAATTTCTGCAAGTCTACTTGCTGCTTGCTGCTGCCAACCCCACCCTGCTTCGCAATCAAATACATGACTGAAGCAACATGCCAGTGGTTCGACAATGAAGACTGACATGAAATTGTGGGAATTTCAACTGCCGGGCGTTTGATTCAGGATCCACAAGTACACAGCCGTCTTTGCGGATGATGACTCAAACATCAGCCTTCAAAACCCGTGCCAAGACTCTGTAGCAGTACGGCTGAGAGCCCTCTTGTCCGAGAACTTGTGGTCTTGGTAGCTAGATCATCAAGCTGGCAACTTCAGCTGAGAATTCTGAATCAGTTCGTTCAGGCTCGGAGCGTTGACACGGATGCAGCTGTTCAAACTTCGCTTCTCGGTGGAGTCGCCGGGAGGCCTGAACCATTGCCTCACTACTAAAGACATTGCGATTCCAGTGCCGCGAGGTTGGGGGGAATGTACGGTTGGCGGGACGCGTCGCGGACTTGCTCTTACACAGAAACCTCACCGGCTGGATTTTCATGGAAAACACATGAAAACACGAAGCTCACATCGTGGTACGCAAGGCAATCGTAAACACGACAACGTAAAACAGCTGGCCTTCGGCTTGTGTCCTGGTGGCGCAGGAACAGGCTGATGTCCAGCGCGAACGAAGCTTCGCCCTCTTGACCAGGATTTTTTGGGAGCCTCCCACGCTCCATCTCGAGGACTGACCTCTTTATCTTCTCTGGGCTCTGCTGGCTTCGACAGTTCTGAGATTCGCTGTCTCCACCACTCTGCTTCATCCTGCAATGCTATGTGAGGAGGTGGACAATCTGGCTTGTGCTGCTGGAGGTCGGACGGTAGTTCCAGCAGCATGTCGATTGCCGACATGCGCTGCTTCAACAACTCCGAGAGCTCGAACTGCCTGACCGGTGCCGACAAAACACACTGCCTTCAGCATCCTTCAGCGTTCCGAAAAGACACCTGCAGACTCCACACTGTGACACGACGTCTGCTAACATCGGGCCACCAAAATCAAAGCTCGACGACAGACGAGCCGGCAGACAAGCAGCCAAGTGAAACTAAAAGATGCTTGCTCCGAAGGGGACTTCGTCTCTTGCGTGCACAATTCTCGACACATTTTGATATCGCGCCTGCTGCTTGCTGAACTGCTGTGATCACTTAGGCAGGCACGAGGCACAAGCATATCATTGCGATTTCATCTCCAGCAGTCACTACCAATTACACAGATCAGTTGCCTAGTGGTTTGACAGTGTACTCACACCTTGCGCGTGACATGTTTCAAACATGCAGGGACCCGAGATGATCCGAGGATACAGTGTCGTATATAGAGCCGGCACGTCAGCACGCACCAACAATGATGGAAGATGAGTACTGATAAGTATGATGTCACAAGAGACAGCACATTCATGGCTGTGACTACTCCCAAACGCACGAAAGCCGCTGTAGACTCCGGACGTGCAGAACCGCTTGGAAGGTCTTGTACCCAGACCGAGACCTGTATGTTCAGCACTCTTGCAGTGTGGGTGCATAAACGTGACATAAAGCCTCACACATTCACGGCATGATTCCTGCTTCATGTGCACCGCAACAGAAAAACTTAGATGAAGACACCCATAGACACCCTGTCGAACAGCTTCAGAGCCAGTCTCGATTCCACTGCACATGTGCAGCTACTGCAGCTTGCTGTAATGCAAGCAAGGCCTGGACGTGACCTGGTCAATCTGTCGCATGAGCTCGATTTCGGATTTCTTTCGGGGAAGCACAGCATCAGCATCTGCCATCTCATTTGCGAGCTCTACTTGAGCCCGCAAGCTTGCGAGAACACTCGTAAGCAATCTTGATTCCATCCGCCATGCGCAACATTTGCAGACATAACCTACAGCTCGCGAAGGCTTGATTGTGCTGGGCAGCCCACAGAAAATCTCAAAGCTTCAAGGGGATGGTCCTGTCAAGACATGTCACGAGCCAATCAGGTTGCACCGCCTCAACCTGTTCCAAGGAAATTCCAACCTCCGGATCGGGAAGCTGCTCGGTTGCCACCTCGGGACAAGCAAGAACCACACAATGTCACACAGTGATACGTGCGATGGGTTCTGGCCTTCCGGATTCCCTCTGCCTCTATCACGACGACGCGACCGTGTTCGTGGAGGAGCATAAGACTGAGGCCGGAGACAAGCACAGAAGGTTGTATCGTGTGCAGAGACCTTGCTCCGCGCATTTCTAGGTTGTAAACGATGGCCTGGCGCCCGGCATCTGCATGGCATCCTGCGTGGCTCAAGATCAAGCAGCCGCAAACCGCAGAGAGAAAATTCTGGAGATGCCACCCGGCAGGAAGGGCAGCAAGCGATCGAAGAAAAAAAGTGGGCTTGACACGAGGAGGTCGAATGTCTCCTGGTTTCTTGACTCGCCTGCAGGTAATCTATCGGGTTAGACTCTGCAGTTTAACGATGGGGAGCCCGGCACTTCATCTCCGCAACATGGAGGGCAACGTATTAGAGCTCAAGGATTTAGGAACCGTTTCTGCTTGTGTAGTCCTCTGTGGGCTGTCGCGAGATGCCTGAGCTGCGGCTTGATAGCTCGGCTGTATCACGACTGGGATGCACCATAGCTTTGAGTATTCGACAGTATCGAACTCGAAGGATAGCAGTCGGAGACACCAGGAACGAGAAGAGAACCTGTAGTGGAATGGCAAACCCTTGCACGGAAACGTCCAAGTCATTGCCAGCTCATACAGGAGGGCGACTGAATCCGACTGAGCATCGAACAACTGCTTTGTGTGAGAACAGGCTGACACCACCATGCGCGAATCCAACACAAAGCCTGGCGCAACAAGCCGAGCCGGCCAAGCCAAAAGTTGTCCATGAACGTCTCGTGCACATGGCTTAGGATCCGACAGTGGGTTGCCTTCAACACCAAGATCTGGTATCCATGCCTTTGGAGGACCGAGAAACTGCCCGGCATCAGATCAGATCACAGCAGATTAACACGTCCTGTTAAAGTAAGTGCCATGCCAGAGATGTTGCAGAACCTCATTCCGCCGAATGCTCGTTTCGACAAAACGCATCGGCTGCAGGATCACGATTGTGATGCTTGTGGGCTTACTTTTCTGTACACTTACTTCGTGCCAACATGTCATTAAGCATTGTAATGCTGGAAGAGGGAAGCGGGCTGACAACGCGCATCATGCACCGTTGCCGACAACTTACCGACCACAGTCTAGAAGGCTGCGAAGCAAGACAGTGGCAATCTCGCGCGACGATGCTTGCGCTGCGGTAGGAATTTAGGCTCCCGATAGTCTCATGTCTCGGATGCAACGTCTGCACAAAGCATGCTGAAAAAGTGTCCTACCGCTAGCTGTGCGACTGGACGGATCCCTGAGTAAGGACGCTGCAATCGTCTGAGCCGGCAACGTCCAAGGCCAGCCTTTTGCAATCTTCCTGACAAGCACGTCTAAATTCATCTAATATACTTTACTTGTAGCTTCACAAGTAAAGTGCATCACAAGGGCATCACTGCTAGTTAGCCCAGGAGACTCTCTGGCAGCAAGCTTCGATTGCCGTTGCTCAACTAAGGTCCCGTAATTTCCTGTTGAGGCGATTCAAGCTTGAGGGGCACTAAATCGACACGAGTTGCGAAGCTGTGAGCCATGCGAGCTGCGCATGGCACGAACGGACATAACACGGGGGCGCAGGTGTGCCACGTCGCCGGGGTGCCGCAGTGTGAGACAGGGCCCCACCCTGCGCTGCTCGCCTTGCTCAAACACGGGCAATGGGCAGTGGGAGCTAACTACTGCCGAAATGCATTCGTTCACATTGTTTCAGGCGCTGCTTGCAATCGAGGGTTGAGGCTATCTCTTTGATGCCTTGTCGGACTGACAGAAGTCGCCTACCCCGCATCACATTGGAAATCTGCGCAATCAAAGGCACATCTAGCGAAGACTTTAGTCTGAAGTCTCGACACGGTCCAAACGCATTTTGCCGGCCTCTGGCTCAGGGGCAGAGTTCCGTGGCACCCGACCGAACGAAGCGTCTCGGTGATCTAGGTGGTCAGCCCTAAAACCTAAACCTTATTGGGATTTGGGGAACAGTATCCCCTCGGTGCTCAGGCTTTTGTCCGAGGAAAGTCTCATTCCTGCGTCGGTCGCGTTGCGGTCGTGTTCCGGAGGTGTCCCGGGGCGATGTCCTTATCGGTGTCCTGGTCGGCGCGCCGTCGTTTCCCAGTCTGTGTCCCGATCATGTCCCAACGTCAATGTGAATTTCGCTGTCAGTCAGTCATTGGTGTTGTAGTCGCTGGTGTGCCTCTCGGTGCCCCGTCGCGTCGGTGTCATTTTGGTCGGTTTTCTGGTGAGTGCTTGCTTTAGTCGATGTCCCGGTCGGTGTCACACTGTAAGGAGAGATTCGAAGATTATGAGATCACTTGATGCCACATAGAGCCGCTTCTGTTTGCCAGGATGGTTGCCGCACTTCTTAGTGTGAATCACTCCCTGTAGGCCAGGCCGGACCCCCTGCCCCGGCCCACGTGCCAACCCGGACCCCGGCTGGAACTCTTGACGGGCTCCGACCGGAACAAAAAGCTACGACCAGCAGTCTGCCGCAGACGAGAGCCTTTTGGCATCGATGCTTGGGTCGGAGAATGTCGAGATTGCAAGCCTGTTCGCTCAGTTTGTGTGGTCTTGGTTTGGCGTGCGCGTGGGCTTCGAGTTGGGTTTTGTGTTTGATGTTTTTGTTCTTGGGTTGCGGGGCTGGGCCTTTGTGCTGGGGTTTTGGCTTGGCTTGGAAAGGGGTTTTGGAATCGGGACCTTGAAGAACAGGCCTCAAACCCCCGAAGCTCTAGAGGGAGTGCTGGCACGCATCGTGCCTCGCTGTGTGGCAAAGCATACTGCAAATTAGGGAGGTCCTGAAGGGCCTGCTTTTTCTTTGGCGTCCTGCCTCTCTGCGGCGCTCCCGGCAGAGGATTTCGGTGGGCTCCAGGAGCCACGTCATGACGCTTGGTTTCAGTATGCTTCCGTGTCATTTTGTGGCACAGTGGGGGTTGACATGGGGCAAACATGTGCGCTTCGACTTGTCATCCTGAGCTCAACATCACGCGGAGCTTTGCAAGCTGGTGGGCATATTCGTGCCTGAGTGAGCGTGGCGCTCGCACAGATTTCAGCTGTCGAGGCACAGGACGAAAGTTCCTCGTCTAGACTCTAGACTCTGTCGTGGTGCCTTCAACTCGGTCAGCCAGTCAAACACCTGGCAAAGCACGGTATCCCGATACTTGTGCAGCACCTGTGCTGCTCCGCCCAAGCAAGCGGCACCAGCACAAGTCCATCCTTACAAAATCTTGCAAAGGTTGCCACACGATGACACGAAGCACGGGCCGCCAACCTCTGACAGCCAGGCGATGACAGTTTCAGCCTTCCCCTGCAGACAGAACAGCAGATCGTGGTGCCCCCACTTACTTGAAAGTGTTGCGCGCCGACAGCTCAGTGACAGAAGCGAGCTCCTGCCACGTTCTCGCAGGAGCTACTCCAGTCTTCGATTTCGGAGAAAGATCCCGTTTGTGGCCAACCAATCCTGCAGTCCTTGCTGACACAGGCATGCTTGGCATCGTTGCCGGAGGCATGACCTGTTCTTCTCATGCGTGATCGGTCATGGTAATCGCATCCCGCGCACACTTCGTTCCCCCGACCCTGTCGATCTTGCCCAGATCGACACCTCTTCTATCTGTTTTCTTTGGTAATTGCGCTGGAGCTATGATTCTGCCAGTTCATTCTTCGGAGCAACTGAAGCGTTCAGGAATATTACACCTGTATGAGGTAATGCTCGGGCAGAATTCTTTTCAAGAGCGAGGACGTGCCAAAAGACATTAAACAACACTTGGAACCGACTGATTCGATGCTGGAAAGGACTTTGACCCGCCCTCACGCAAGACCATTACGACCCGCAAACCCGTCCCCGGTCAGATTCGTCATGAAGAAACAAGTAGAGTCACCCAGGGCAAGAAACACCCGATCCTCAGCTGCAGCTATGTCTGGTGTTCCGAGCGTTGAGGCCTGCACCTAAAGTCTGTAGCATCGCGCGCTGTATGTCATCCGGCCGTCAACACCTGCGCCATTGCTGCAATTGCTCAATTGCCACTGAACACCGCAAAGGTAGCACCCTCTACACCAGCATTGCAGCGTTTTCGGCCGTTTCAATCCAGAAGGCTCGCCACCGCGGATCTTCGTCCGCAACGAGCGACACTCCAAGCCCATCTAAACGAACTATGCACGCGGTGCTGCATCTGTGGGAAGTGCACTGCTTGCGCCGTATCTCACGTCTGCACCACGTCAATCCCTCAACCAGCTGATGTGACTCAGTATATTCACGCTGCAGGTGGGCTGAAGTCGAAAGGAAGGACCTGCCGCACATGGCACATGCAGTAACAGAACATGATGGTGGAACACCAACGACATGCATAGCACCTTGTTGTAAGTGAATAAGCGGGCTTTGATCCAGGTTTGCATCGCAGCCTGATGATAGAGATGTTACTGGACGCGAGTGGGAAAGGATGAATTCTGCCTGTCGGACGTCACTGGTCGGTGGCGGCCGCAGGATCAGAGCACTGAAAGCGTAGTCCACCTGGCACTTGCTGCCAGGTCTGCAGTCACATTCCCGCGGACAGCCTTGGCCTTGGCGCGCACCTCACCCGAGGACTTCAGATATTCTGGCAGCGCAGCCTGGTGTAAGCTTGAAAACCCCCGAGACAAGGTCATCTTCGTCCGCGATGTTGCGTTCTTGCACCTAGACCTAGACTCCTCTCCCTACAGCATGTAAACTGCAAACTCTATGTACCTGGTCTTGTGATTCTTTCAACGGCCCAATTTGCAGACTGCAGCAGAACTTCCTGCACATGTGATTTCTGACTCGTTCGAAGCCCTGCCTTAACAGCAGCATCATCCCACGACATTGCAGCATATGCGCCATCCATGGCCTTCGCAAGACGGCTTTGCAGACCTGCTTCTCTTGCTTGCATAGCGGCATAGCTTCCCTGAGAATTCGGTGGCCTTCGCCTCGCCCCAGTCAGCAGCTGCATCATAAGCGGCCATCATCCTCGCTGATGCGCGCGAACCAGTCACATGCCATGGCCTGTGGGTTTGGGACCCAGGCTTGAGATCCGAGACCAGCTGTTGCACGGCCTTGGGCTCTTGGCCCGTCATGACGCCTCTAACCTCAGAATGGCATGGAATGCGACCATCCACATAGATGGTCTCAGCCTGACACTGACCTGTGAGGTCATCGCAAGCCATCCTGGCATTGCAGCGCATGCAATGAGTGAAACAGCCTGCAAGTCCCAGGCTTCCCGTTCCCCGCGCTCCTCCAATCGGGCCGCCGCTTCCATTGTTTGGCACCACTTTGGCAAAGATCTCAGAGCTTGAGCCGCAGGCCACAAACGATACGAACTCCGAACAAGGACATCGCTTAGCTCGGACATACATATACAGCCGTGAAAGCACCGCCATGAGCACATCTCGGCTGATTGCGGAGCAAATCCGGAAGCTATAACGGTACTATACAACGCATGCATCACAGGCTACGGCACAACCTGCATGCCTCCTGTGCGATCATCCCGGCGCATCCAAGATGACTCGCGCGACATGCTGTAGCTGTGCAGGAATTTTGGTAGGTCTGGGGATTCCTTTCGAGAAATGTCGAGGATGTACATCTTGCGCGACGCACCGTTTCTGCATTTGGGTGCATTTGGTCCTAGCTGTGAAGCTTGTGCAGCATGGCTTGAGCTGCTGCAGCTGAAGCCAAAACCAAAGGAATGTGACGCACGAGTGCCTTCAAGACTTCTAAACGGTGCTTCCACGTGTCAGCTCCTTGGCCAGCGTCTCAAGCACAATGCATGCATCCAAGCGAGCGTCTGTAATCGGAATTACAGCACCTGCGCAAGAAGAATGCATGCAATCTGACGGCTGCATGATGTCTGTGAGCTGCCATGTATTTGCATGATGCGACCGTGTGGTGTCGCCTGCTGTAGCAGGTGCCTGGACCTTAGTTGTTCAAGTTCACGCATGATGCTGGCTGGACGCAGTTTACCGATTCTCAATAATGTAGCAGAATACTTGCATGCAACTTTGTGAAGCATTTGCGGGTCACACTGTTGCTGTGATTTCATAGTCAGACGATGAAGTTGTAAAAGAGGCTTTCGAGAATCGGAGCCGGATTTGATTTGCGAACAAGTTAGGTTAGATGGCCTTGCCGAAACGACTTCGAACCTGCGGACTTATCTCGCGGTTTTGTAGCATAGAAACGTCAATATTAGCATTGCAACCTCCAATCCTTGCTGGACCCAAGAGAGCGGTATCACTAATGACTGTAAGTGCACACACTGTCATACCTGCATACGTGTATATAGTGAGATTGATCGATTGATTGTTTTTGATAGGTGGCAGATAAAGACAGAGAGAGATAGTGAGATAGAGAGAGAGAGAGATCTATCTATCCATCCATCTGCCTGTCTATCTATCTGTATATGTATGTATAATGTATAGTATAGTTATATATATATAGACAGCAACAGCACTGCTTAAGAAATCACTGGTTGAAGAAAATGAGCCCCTCGGACATCCGTGCGAAAAAAACTAATAAAAATACAATTTAATAAGAGCGCATTTAAAATAAGAAATCCTGCGCACCCTGGACTCGGCTTGCCAACTTCTCATTTTGCTCTGTCTGATTTTGTCTTCGCTGGTGTTGTTCCCGCAAAAAAAACAGAAACCAAGGGAGGTTCCAAAAGCTCGGTGCCAAACCCTGACAGAGCAAAGCAAGAAATGAAAGCACAGGAGGATTCGAGACAACAGCACTTTCCACTCAAACTCATGTAAGGGCTTAATAAGGGCTTAAATTAGGTAAGAGCGCCTGGTACGTGACCGGCGTTTTGTGGCGTAGCTGAAACAGGCAATGTGCTAAAACCTAGGGAAAACATGTATTATGACTAAAAAGTTGTGCTAGGAGAGGCGGAGAATCCCTGTGACAGGTCGATCGTTTTAGCCAAAAAGGTGTTGCCGCTGCAGTAAAAGCCACTTTTGCGAGCACCGCGCTGCGCAAACTTGGTCTGAGTGGACGTTAATATGGTTGACCCATGCATGGATGCTCTGCGTCAATGAGATCTGGTCTGAGTGGACGTTAACATGGTTGACCCATGGATGCTCTGCGTCAATAACATGGACCACCCATGGATGGTTTCGACGTGGGTTGTAGCAAGTGCCGAACACACCGTAATTACCGGTATGTTCGGCATATGACCCTAAGGAAACATGGCTTCGATCAGAACTAGAGCTTGGGCCTGCCTGCGACAGAAGTCCGCAGTTCTGGGAGTTAAGGGTCGGGACTGGCCGGAATTACCCCCCCCCCCCACCCCCCACCCACACCCCCCCCACCCAAGAAAAGTGAGGGGACGTACAGGACGCACACCAGGCGCTCTCACCTTAAATTAGGCTTTGCCATATAGGAAAAAAACCACCAAAAGGGGCTCGATTTCTTAAGCTTAAGAAATTGAGGGGCTCGATTTCTTATTTTGGGGGATTCTGGTAAGGGCTGCTACAAGCTGGGTAAAAAATGGGATGGATATCGTTTCAGGAGTCTTGGGCTGGCACGCCCGAGTGGATAAGCACATGAGCTGGAATGGGAGGTGCTGCGGGCTCGAATCCTGCTGCGCCTTCATTTCTTGTTTTTGCTTTTTTCTGCTGCCGTTGCAATTTAAGAAACTTGGGTCAAGAAGTCCAGGGTACTCTCAAATCCCGAAACGTTTTTTTTCCTAAAAAAGGGTGCGCTTGAAAAACAAGAAATCGAGCCCCCCTCACGAAAATTCATCTGTTTCTTAACCGGCGCTGTCGCTGTATATATATATATATATATATATATATATATATACATATATATATATATATAAATGAATAAATCCCGGTGCAGCCGGCGCCCCCCTCATGGACTCGCCCCCCCTGTGGTGTGGTGTGGTGTGGTTCGGGTTTGGAGCTGCTTGGGCCGCGGTGCGGTGTAGTTCGGGGTATACGTCTGCTTGATGGCGCTGGTGTCATGATAATCACTTTCATCATCATGACCATCATACTGTGCCTTCCTTGAGTCAACCGTCACCTGTCAGGAACGTGATCCTCGCGGCACGTACATCTTTAGTACCCTCATGTCGGAGTCGTGGTTGGGAAGTGTCCGCTGTCACAAGGATCGAGTGTGTTTGGAACGAGATCCTCGTGACAGTTGGCGGTTGTGGAGCCGCCATGTGGGAGAAGTGCGCACAGTCACAGGAATTCGGCATGTTCGGACCCGGGCATGTGGGGGGAGAGGAAGGGGTCGGCACGACATACTGACGGTTCACTGTTCGGCTGCGACGTATAGGATCCTGTCCAGTGTCGTCTCGACTCAGGCAATGGCAGGGAGTAGAGTCTGCAGAAGACTCGAGGTAGACATGTACCTGATCAACTGCTTCGAGCTTTCGCTGTCCCCCTTTTGATTTTCGGTAAAGCACGCCTGTCTCTTCGCAATTCAAGCACGTCAATACAATTGATGCGCAATCCGCTGGCAGCCTAGGGCCTAGGACTAGGAGTTCCCGTGCCAAAAACTTGCGCAGGAGCACTTCTTGGCATGGAAGCAGCGAATGGTCAGGGCGATCAAGTCACGCGCAGTACGCGTAAGGGCCATGAGGTGGAAGGTCTTGACTTCGCTCATGACCAACCGGAACTGCACAAGTCGTGCGCAGAAATTGCCGGAAACAAACACCACGGTGGACCAAGCCTTGGTCGTGTCCAACGGGTGAATTATGACTTTCGGGTATTCGGACGAGTACCTCGCAGAAGAGAACGAGGATAGCATTGCCAATCGAAGTCGGCCAAGAGCACTCAGCATAGACTTCCCGGCTGTCACGGCCTCAGCGAGGCCAAAACCGTATGTCTCCCGCGTTCCGTATTTTCAATTTTCCTCCCATCAAGACTACCAGACGAAGGCTTGCTCTCCGACTGCAGCAACCTGGAGCCTCCACGACATGTTACCTTTGGCAGCTCTGAGATGGAGTCCCTGGTAGCCAGCTCCAACGGACGTCACCTCAGCGGATGCTTCCCACAAGCAGCATTACAGCACGAATTGCAAGTGCTGGGGTTCGCACCCGGACACCCTCTGACGAGACTTGTATTGCTAGATCCTTCCCGATCGAACGTGTCCCCGCCAAGAGCACCACATAAGAACACGTCTTCTTCGTACAGCATTGCATGATATTGCATGGCATTGCCGTTCGTGCGGAGTCCTGCCGGGCACCTCCGGGAGCTTCTCCAGGAAGCTTTGACTGCATGACCGCGAACCTGCCGCACGGTGAGCAAAGAGAATCCTAAGATCGAAGTCTAAAGATTTGTTGAGAGCTCATGGAAGTGCATCGAATCGTCAGTATTGCGTTGAAGGTTCTGGAAAGCAAGGATGGTCTGAGGCACTGCAGCAGGAACCTCGCACTGAATGGCAGTAAACAGTTTGCAGACCATGCCAGTAAGTCGCCAACTTGAAAGCCATGCATGTGCGGAGAAAATCTTTCGACTCAACAAGCAGCACGTACCAATGCCAATGTTCCTAAGGAGCCCTCTTTAGGCGATGTACACCGAGAAAACTCTCAAATATTTTCAAATCAACCGGAATTATTAATGTCAAGAAACCAAAGGATTTAGGCATTGCCTCAAGGCAAGGCCAAACCAGGCATTGTGTTGCGTGGGATGACTTGTGTCAAGGATGTCAAGGCGGAAGACTTGAAAACATACGAAGGGGCTCAGGAGCGTTCCTGCTGCCTGCTGAGTCGGAGTGGCCTCATAAACTGAGGCATCAGAACAATGTTTGTCTGAGTCTCGGCGCGCCTACAGTCTGCTGGAGCTTAGGAAGTTTAGCGGAGTTAGTCGGGATCCGCCCGTGCCAGGATCGTTTCCCGATCGTTTCCCGGAGAAGTTCTGCAGGGCATTGGCTTGTGCTCGAATCCGAAGGCCGAAGTGCAGACCTTGCCGTTCCCGCTTAAAGCTTCCGGGAGGGACCGGACAGGTCAGGCCGTCAGGCCGTCAGGCCGTCAGGCCGTCAGGCTTGAGACTACAAGCATGTCCTGCCCATGTCTGCCCCGCTGCCTGCTTCCTCCCAAACCCAAAGCATTGTCCAGGCTGCGTCTGGTCGCCGGGTCGAGTTCAAAGGGGCCGATCTGCATCGCAGAGGAGCTATCAGCCATATTTATCCAGCTCATGAGCACCCGTCGGCCTCTCCGATGACCGTGCCGTGGTGACCATCGTCCATGTCTGCTGGTTGCGCCTGAGGCAATGTGTTCTGTCTGCAAATCCGTAGCAAAAAAAAACTGCTTCAGGAATCTTAGCCTTGCACCTCTACAGATATGTCGGTCCCAACATCGTCAGCTGAGATCTGGTACCTGAGCAGAGCGTTTCAAGCTCGGTGTCCCTTCTCGTCCGACGTCCGGGGGCCCTGCATGTTTGAAGTGACTCCCGGGATTTCCACTGGGAGGTCGCCAATCTTGCGCTTCCATCTACATCTCAGGGGCACCTCGGATTACCAAAGCAGTCTTGCTGACCGAGTGCTCGACAAAAGCAGGTTCCGACGTCACTTGTCCAATTTTCCACGAGAACAGGCCGCAATTGCTGCTTGACTTGAACTAGCATGACTGCACTCTGCAAGCCTTTTTCGGCCTCGTCCTGCTCAGGCATATCCTGAGGTGAAACGATCACCGAGGCAAACTGCCATACCGCAGCGATGTGCAGACATTGCACTTGGTGATCAGGGGTCACCATCCTGGGCAGAGCGAGCTACGCAGCACCGACGCAGGCTCATGTGCAGTGGCAGTAACTTCCGAAACCAACATGTATGTGCTTGTGCTGCTGTGTTTTTGTGCTGCGGCTCTAGTTCCTCACTCGCTGCAAGGGCACTCAAATCTGAGTTGTGAATCCTGGAGTTTTCGTTGCACTGCACCACCAACCCCCCAACCCCCCAACCCCCCAACCAACAAGCAACAACCACACCAACACTGTAACAAACAACAAGCAACACACAACAAACAACTAAACAACAAACTCAGACTAACACTGCTCTGAATCATACAAACAATGGTGGTCAGTAGCAGGTGAACTAGCTGTGGTGTCGTGTTCCATTCAAGGCTCAGCATGTTCAGGGTTCACGAAGGTTTTAAGATCCTTCGGAGTCTTCGTCTTCCGCAGGGTCGCATGGCTAAGCTGTTCAGGGCTCAAGTGCAGCTGGCAAAAAAGCCCACAGGGTGGTTCACCTTTAAAGCCTGGGCCTTCAGGGCTAGGAGTGGGACTTTGGGAGTGTATTTTTGCAGGGTTTGCGGTTACAGACGCACAGGATGTGAACTGCTGCGCGAAAAGCACACAAATCTCACTCTCCCGCTGGCATGCCGAACTACGCGATTACATCAAGCGCGGAAAACCAATGAACATCCAGCAAACGGTGAGACGAAGAAAGGAAACAACCACTCCAAACTAAAAGCAACAAAACGAAGTAGATACACGATTCCACTACGCATAGAAAGACTTACAAACTGTACCAGTAACGTCAGCAACAACATTGCCTTGGTGTATCCTTAACCGTTCTTTATGCGTATATCCTTGCGATTCCATGCGTACACACATGAGGGTTGATCGATATTGTTGTTCCGATGAGTGACCATTTAATAACCCTTGCGCCTGCCCATGCGCACTCTTGCGTGTTTCTTACGCGCACACGAAATAATCATACCTGCAGCCTGTATGAAAAAGCACTTCAGTATGCTGAATACTAAAACATGACCCATAATTACAGTAGGTCGTCAAAAGCGCTTTGGTTTCGGGCTGGAGGCTAGGGAAAGGAAGGTTCAAGGATCCAAAATGCATCATGGGGAAAGCTCGGTTGCATGTAGCCATGTTACTGGCCTTTTGCACTCTTTGGTCGCCCTTGCGCATTCTTGTGCGCACACCATGATTTGAGGGCAATTTCAGAAGTGACGATATGAATAAACCGCCTCTTTAGAGCAAAGTCAAGAGACGGAGGTTTAGAACAACCCTCATATAGCCCCCCCCCCTCCCCGATTTTGTATCAGCGTCGAAGGAGAGGATCATGGCGCTGGGGCCAAGGGGTTTTAGAAATGCGGATGTCCTTCCACACTCACTTGCTTCCCTGCATCCCTCCTTCGTTCCTGCCCTTCCTCCGTCCCTGACGTCTTGCTCGTTTTTCTCGCTTCGCCTTTGATGATTTCTTTCCTCCGTCAAGTGCTGAATTTCGCATGTCTTGATTCCGGTCCGACATCCTCCGCATGGTTCTGCCTTTTCCTGTATGACCATTTATTACATAAGCTCGGCGTTCCTGGCAATCTGCTGGTCAGGTGCTCCGTTGCTTGCCCTCAGCACCGTGTCGGCGCTTGCCCTTATGGGCTAGGGAGTTCATTCGCAGACGGCCACACACACTATACAGTTCCAAAAATCACAAGGCTGAAGGATCGCAGTGTTTCACTCAGGTGAGGGCATTTGCTCACTCACTGGAGCCTTCGGACTCTTGCTTGGCGATGCGTGCCTTCACAGCACAGAGGCCGCAAGAGACTCGGGGTTTCAACTTTAACACGGCTTTCAACCTTATCAGGCGTGCGAAACAGAAAATCCCACGAGCTCCTCAACACTGGCCTCGATCCTGGCTTTGGCTGCTGCGGCTCGCTTCCGCTCTTCATCGACCCAGTCGAGGTCATCCGGCCGCAGCTGGTCACAATCGGTCAAGGCAGTTGCACATATCACATCAAATCACCACATCCGGGTGCAGCCTTGTACACAGTGAAGGCAAACTCTGCGAAGCAAAAGCTGACAACGCCGAGTCCCATAAGAAAATTCCTGCACACGATTCGCTCCCTGTGCAATGTTGCACAGCTGCGTCTCAAAAGTCTGCACCTGCCTGAGCTCAACTGAATATCTTGCTGGCTTCCCCATCATAAACTGGTGGTACCTTGGCATAAGCCGACGACGGAGCAGGGTCTAAAAAACTATGAGTCCTACCGCAGCCAGCGCAGCCAGGCCGCTGCTCCCTTGGAATATCTAGCTGTTCGGGAGCCCCAACAGGTCGGACGTAGCCTTCAAGCGTGGGAGCCTCAGAGCAACGTCATGAAGCTCTGCTTCCTCTGCTTGCACCCCGCTGCAAGCGCCTTTGGTCGGTGCAGCTCCACCTCTTCCCAGGTTTCCAAAGGCCTGGACACTGCAGAGTCACCCCTCAGCTACTTTCTTCTTTGAGTATCCGGATCAATAGGCTGTTGGTCTTACCCGCCGAGCCGGAGGCGATTCAGAGAAAACTTCAAAGCTAGCCTGGCCTGGGTGCAGAGGAGGTGTTTGAAGCCCTTCGCAGGGAATCGCACCTCGGCGGCACATGGTATCAATAGCTTAGCGGCTTGGAGCATTTGGTCTTCTGCTACGCTGCTCATCATGCTACACTTACTTCCCGTGCTTCCCGTGGAGTGCATCCTGCTAGAGTGTACAGCTGTACTTGGCAAAAATGATGCTTTATGCCTTGCCATTTCATGCTGCCAGAGTGTTGCAGAAACAATACAGGCAGAAACAACGCGTCGTCGGGGCGCTCCTGATTCATGGAGGCTACTGACAATGTAGATCAGAGCTACTGCGCTATTCAATCAGCAGAGAATGCCTCCGAACGCATATCTTCAGGAGACAATCCTCTTCCAGGTGCTCACTGCAAATCTGCAACCTCCAAACCTAGGAATCTGACAAGATCATTACTTCCGATCCTGGTCCAAAGTCGGTAATCTCGTACAGCTCGGCTCATCCTGAGTCTCCCACGCTATCCTGCGTGGCAAGGATCCGACCTTGCGCGGTCAGACCATGCCAGGAGATTACATACCTTCTAGTGTGACCAAGCGATATACAGCCATTCAACTCCATCCGCGGGCGACACAGCTCTTACTTTGCGGTGACTCTTGTAGACTCAGCCTCTTGTAAGTACGTCGGTGTTTCGAATTGTGTCCGCAGTTCGAACGATGGTGCTGTGTTTCCGGCCGGGCCTTTTGGGCAACGTGACACGGGTATGTTCGGGTGAGGACCACCCAAAGGCAAATCACAGCCGCGTAGAGTTGCCCTGATTTTTTTGATGGCCTGGACGCACAATCTGCTAGCAGGGCATAGCAGGGCAAGCCTTCAACTGCTACGGCAGGTTCCTGCAATGATTACTTCCTGGCAGATTCTACAAGTATTGGGCTACGGGCTATGGGCTCCTTCACCAGCCAAAATCTTCAAGACAGTGACAGCGTTTCGTGGGAGCCGTTACATCTGGCCCGACATATTCACCAGGGTGCTGCTTGTTTCGATGGGGGCTTGCTAGTACGTGGTACAGGAGCAAGCCAAGGAGTGAGAATGACATGACAGCGCAAAAACACATGGATTAAAGCAACGCTCAACCGCTGTGTCGTCGGTACCGGCTTTGCCGCACTGCATTCTGATCCTGGCCTGCCGATGGCAGGAGCGAAGAGCAAGCATCGACGCCTGGCGCCTGGCTGCAGCAAGTGGCAGAGTCTTTGTCCAGCATACGAACCAAACCCACCTTAGGTCTGCGAGGCTCGAATTGGATCAACTAAGTAACTAAGCTTGGAAGCCTGACGGCTGCGGTTCAGATGCAATTTGCCGAATATCATATCCGTCCTTCGGCTTTCCTTATCCTTGAAGCATGTCAAGCATCGAACCCCCTAGCGAAACCGAGGCGGAGGCCGGGAGCCCTCCAGGGCTCGCCTCTGCGGACGCCACCAGCACACCGGTCTGCACAGATGTCAAGGCTAAGAAACACACTGGCAAAGACACAAAAAGGCAGCACGAGGATTGACGACCAAACACAGCGGCCTGGAAATAGCCGCCACCTTCTAAACGGAACCTCAACATGCATGGTCTGCTGATGGGCACCAGGGAATCGGACATGGTAAGGGATATTGCAAGGGTCAAGCAAGCTGAAGCTTGAAGTTTCCGAAAGTGCTCGGCTTGAAGTGATAGTTGCATTCGCCACGCACACTGCCCAGAAGGTAGTCCTGTTGCAGCGACAAGGCTGGAATCCAGAGTTCCAGGTAGCAGCAGTTTGTTGACGCGATCTTTAGGTCCATCGCCGCGTTGACTCGCGGTTTGCGCATGTCTGCAAGGCGCCTCTGGCTGCTCAACTCGGGCCAACCACCTCACGTGAGTTTAGTCAACTCATGGAGATTCAGCACGCCTTTGCAAAGGCCAAGGCCTTTTCGGAAGCTCATTCAAATTGTCCCGCAATCGCTGCAGGCTTGCGCTGTCCTGGCATAAACACTTCCGTGTTGCAGGTTCAGTTCAGTCACTCAGTCACCCTTCCCTTCTAAACGACCCAAGTCCAAGTCCAAGCGTGCCGAAGACTCATGCAGTGAACTCGTTAGGTCTTTGAGCGTTTGCATTCGCTACGGTGGTCACGTCATCACGCGGCCCCCCATCAGATCATCAGCATGGCTCGGCATGCGAGTCATGCGACCGCTGACAGTCTGATGCTAGAGAAACAGTTGGACCTGTGCTTGTGGTCAGTGAGACGCAATGTTGCGCGTACTGGGTGTGTGGGATGTACTGGGTGTTCTGGGGCAAGGCTCGTCGAAACGAGTTTCTACTCTGACAGTCACTCTATAACTTTAATAAGTTTCATGCAGCTCCATGAAAATCCAGGCGAGCCAGAAAGCAATTGCCGGATTTAAAGGAATGGCCTGCCTGCACGCTCCTGGAGGGTATTGGAAGGTGGAGATTTGTTTTTGTTTTTTTTGTTTTTTTCTGGCCTTTGTTTTGTTGGCCCTGTCTTCTGTTGTTTCCCAGGAACGGGGGGCACGGATGCGTACCCGGGGGCCGGGACTGCTTTTGCAACCTAAGTACGGTCAGTATAAACCCTAAGCCTTGGACTGGGTTTTAGGGTTTACTAAATCCCAAACCCCAGGCCCTAAACCAAACCTAAATCTTGTATGTATACATGTATATATGTATATATGTATATATGTATATATGTATATATGTATACATTTTTACATGCTTAGATGTATATAAGTATGTATGTGCATATGTACATATGTATAAATGTATATAAGTAAAAATGTATATATGTATGTATGTATGTATGTATGTATGCGTGCATGTCTACATGTATATGTGTCTACAGGCATATGTATATATATGGTCAGGCGTCTGGCGTTCCCAGCCCCCCCCCCCCCCCAATGGTATGGTCTGACAGGGGTGGGGGGGGGGGGCCTGGCGTGTGCGGAAAGGGGTTGGGGGCCGTTGGAGCTGCCACTGGGTGGTGGGGTGGTGCTGGCGGCCAGGGCTCACGCGCAAGCGCTTCGCAAGCAAGCCGTAAACCCTATGACGCAGCGCGTGCCCCTGTTTTGAGCAACCTTAACTTGTACTTAAAACACTACACCCAACCCTAAACACCACCTAACTGCAGGCTCTAAGCCTAAAGCAGAGCATACACCGCAAATCCTCCCTAAGCCCTTGTCGACTCGAAGCCTTATACCTTGTAACCGTAAACCCAAAACTCAAAAGCTTAAGCTAAACCCGAAACCCCAAAACCCCACAACCACCCCACAGGAGAAAGAGGAACCCCACACCCCACACCACAGGGGAGGGGGGGGCCCCACCCTATATCCGGACCATTGACCTTTGGGGGGGAGGGGGGGGGGGGCTGCGGAGCGCGTGACCATATATATATATACACACGCATATGTGTGTATATATATGTATATATACACACACATCTATATACACAAGCGTGTATATGTACATATATATATGTAAACATATTTGTATATACGTGAATATACATGTGTATATATGTATATATGTATATATGTATATATGTATATATGTATATATGTGTATATGTATGTATGTATATATGTATATATGTAAATATGTAAATATGTATATATGTATATATGTATACATGTATATGTGTATACATGTATATATGTATACATGTATACATGTATTTATGTATATATGTATATATGTATATATGTACATATGAATATATGTATATATGTATATATGTATATATGTATATGTATATATGTATTATGCATATAGCATAATGCATATATGTATATATGTATATATGTATATATATTTGTATCTGTATATATATGTAGAATATATATGTTATATTATATTATATATGTATATTTAGATTAGATATATATGTATAATGTATATATATATATATAGGTATATATGTATATATATGTATATATATGTATATATATATATGTATATATGTATATATGTATCTATGTATATATGTATATATGTATATATGTATATATGTATATCTGTATATGTATATATATGTGTATACATGTGTATATATATGTATATATGTATGTGTATATATATATGTATATATGTATGTATATATATGTATATGTATATATATATATATGTATATATATGTATGTATATATATATATATATTTGTTTAAATATGTGTATATATATGTGTATATATATATGTATATGTATATATATATGTATATATTTATGCAAATATGTGTATATATATATGTATAAAGAGTGTGGGTATCCTTTTGTAAACAACATATATATATAAAGATGTATGTATATCTACATATATGTTGAAAAGTGTGTATATATATGTGTTTATATGTATATGTCTGTACCTACATGTATATGTGTAGCTATGTATATATGTATACGTATACATATATGTATGTATATATGTCAATGAGGAGGTCTCCAGCACCAGGTTTCTTACTCTGACCTGTATTCTGGCCAGGAAGGCAGGGTTTACTAAATCCCAAACCCCAGGCCCCAAAACAAAACCCAAATCTTGTATGTATATATGTATATATGTATATATATATGTATATATATATATGTATATATGTATATATTTGTATATATATGTATATATGTATATCTGTATATATGTATATATGCATATATGTATATATGTATATATGTTTATATGCATATATGTATATATGTATATATGTATATATGTATATATGTATTTAAACATATATGTATATATGTGTATATGTATATATACATATATGTATATATGTATATATGTATATATGTATATATGTATATATGTACATATGTATATATGTATATATGTATATATGTACATATGTATATATGTATATATGTATATATGTATGTATGTGCATATGTACATCTGTATATATGCATACATGTATAAATGTATATATGTATATATGTATGTATATACGCATGTCTACATGCATATGTGTCTACAGGCATATGTATATATATATATATACACACATACATCTAAATGTATATATATATACATGAGCGTGTATATGTATATATATGTGTGTATATATGCATATGTATGTGTATATATATATATATACGTATATATATATATACATATACATACATGTATAGACGTATATATATACATATATATATGTATATATATATGTATATATATCCATATGCTCGTTTGTAGGGTTGGATCCGCGGGGGCTGGATCAGTGGGCTTGGCAAAAACCAAAGTTATCAAAATCAGAAGTCAACCTGAACAAAGACTTATTGGATACGTTACGACACGGTAGGTTTGTCCAGAATTAATGTAACTGGAGATTTGCAGACACTGAAAATTGTTGAGAAAACCATGAAAAATGTAGTATTATTTCTGTCCAAGCCGGTGTGTGAACAGAGCAACCGGAAGCTGTGCCATTCCAGTGACCCCTTGCACCGACATTGGCACGTCGGGCAAGGTCACACTAGATGGCTGGCCTTTGTGTCCCCAAGCAAGGAAACTTGATGGCTCTTCGGGCGAGAGCCCGGCAACACCAACAGGTTTTCGCAAGGCTGAGGACGTCTGTGCAAGAGCCGGCAGAAGCTGCAAAGGTGTGACTCCCAAATTGTCAACAAGAAATTGTTCCTCAAGTGTGTTCACTTGTGCCATGCCACTGACCCCTTGCACCGACATGGGCACATCGGGCAAGGTCACAGTGGATGGCATCTATTGTTTCCTCACACTGCTCAGAACAACCTGTCAACTTAAACAGGTTGCTGCAAGGTTGAGGAAATCTTGAGTCAGCATGGCATTGCTTGGCAAGGTTGACGATTCGAATTGAGGAAATCTTGAGGAATCCTCCTCAAGTGTGTTCACTGAAAGAGCCATATCAATTCTGTTCCTCAAAGTGTGTTCACTGAGACAGCCACATCGACATAAGGCTGCAAGCAAATCAGACTTGTGTCTCAATTGTTATGCAACCTTCTCATCAGTCATCGCACTGTTTTACCTGTGTTGCTGCATGGCCTGCTGTTGCTGTTGTGTCACAGCATTCACACCCCAAAAACCAGTCACAGCAGATTGGCTTGAATAATAAAAAGCATGCAGCTCAGTAAGCTATGAAACGTATTTTGGCTGACGAAGCGGATCGTCACAATAGATTCCGGACAATCTGCGCAACTGCTTCCCCGAACATCGAAGTGTATTCCCCACTAGCCTGTACATCTGCTGGCACACCGGTGAAACGGCCGTCTTCGCCTCGGTTTACCAGACCAATGAAAGCATTATGATCTGGTTTGGGCCTGGCCAGGTTCTCAAAATGAAACCCAGGCAAATGCCACAGTTGCAAGGGCTTCACTGACTTTCCGTTAAAGGCACCCATGTAGGTGCAAGTCTTTTCGAAGCCACAAAAGGATAGAACTGTTTTGACACACTCGAGGTGCGGCATACAGGAGCTGAGGGGCTGTTCCACCACAGGGCAGCACTCACATGCCCATCCCAGGAAAATCCCAAGTGAGCAAACAAGGGCCTGACAATTTCCCTGCAATACAAAGTCCCGCTCAGTCCATGCGCCTTCCCAGCCGTTGCTTTCAGCACGTTGGGAACGAAATGAGCACATAATGACAAAAGAAGAGCACGGAGTGCCCCACCAATGCAAAGCCTTCTTCTCACACGCTGTGGCTGCATCCAGAAACAAACGCAACCCTTTCGCCAGCAACATGTTGTGTTCGTCATTGTAGAGTATGTCAAAGCTGCACCCACGGAGACCGGATTCGATCAATTTCTTCGAAAGTTTGGCGCTCCCTGCATAGTATTCAATGTATTGCAGCAACCCCGCACATTGATGGGGTCCCACATCGATTGAAGCTGCTTCAATCTTGGCTCTGTTGTCATAGCTACGGCTAATGATGCACATCAGCTGACACTCGATGGTTCGGTTCTTCAATGCGGGATAAGCCAATCCAATCAGCCCATGCCATTTCATGGCCACTCTGCCCACATTGAAGTCCTGGTCGTAGCGCAAGAAATTTTGCACCAAAATCCTTGCAACCATGAGCCTGTGACACCAAACCTGGCCAGCAAGATCTGTGGACCTGGCCAGCAAGATCAATTGAGGATGATGATAAG